ATGCCGAGCCGATATCCATTACATCACCGCACATCCGAAATTCTGTCATATTTTCAAGATCATTCCTATTATTGTGTCAAGGGTTATTTTTTCGACAGTTTAATCTTTCGGTGATGCTGAGGTCAAACAATCGCACCATGATGTCACACCAATCCCTCAGTGTTTATTAACTTCAATGCTACTTTAAAAAAAAAAATCATTTTACTCCAAGAAAGGCGATAATGCCACTAAGACGCAAGTGGCTACTAGTAACGGAAGAGAGTGAGAGCACTTTATTGAGGAGAAAGGACAATAAAAGAACAGAAAGGCAGAACGTGGAGATTGGCATTGCATTATTTTCTTAATCTCTCTTCAAGCAAGCCAACAAAGTCTCTAAGACGTAAGCGGTTACTGGGTGTTAGAGAATACGAGAAAAAGCTACTATTAAGGAGAGAGGATAATAAAAGAACAAGAATTAAGAAAAAAGAAGATAACCTTTGAGATTGCATTAAAAATACTGAAGATCAAAATTTAAATGCAATGTTAATCATTATCAATAGCCTGTAGCTGTCACATAACGGGGGAGTATCAGAAATATTAAGCCCAGGCTACAGGGAACCTTTCCTCAGACAATACCTCTCTTTCAGGAGCGGGGCTAGGTTTATTTCCTGGCGGCTGAGGCGTCTCCAAAATATCAAGTACCGAAGGAGCTTGTGAAAATTTTCCACGTTATTGCCATTAAACACACTTTAACCCTCGACCTTTTGTCATATTCAGTAGCGACGTGGGCGCGCTGAAAAAGACGTTATCATGCAGAGAAACCCACAAGCGTTTCGTATGATATGGGAGCCTATTGTTGTATTTTTCTAGATAAAACTCTCCATAATTCCCATAACAACGAAACAAAACCGTCTCCACGCATACAATTACTCACCATGATATTCTCTAACCATTGTATTGCGTTCAAAATATTTTGATTTCGGCATTAAATAACCCATAGAGGTGTTGATATGCCGCTAAACAAAAACAACCAACCAATCTAACCATTGTCTAATCATTACTCTAATGCAGCCCTGGTGATGTTCTTTGCCTACCTTTATCAAATATCTGCGAGTATCAAACTCAAATATGTTATGTTGCAAGTCGTCGCTCGATATTGATTTAGATTGTCGTTCGAAGCTCACTTTTGGGAGCCAACTGGACACGTACTCAACTATTCTTGAGGAAAATGTACTTTTTTTTTATCGTTGCAAGTCACATGAGGCAAAAAATATCTTGGGTGATTTTTTAAAGGATAATTACACCTATTTCTTTTTTCGTTTCTTCTATCGATGGCATTGGAATTCGGTGACACTTTTCATTTACAAGGTGATTACCTCCCTTGCCTAAGTCTTGATTTATCCTGACAGAGTACAACTGTGTTAAAGATCGTTATAGAGTAAGACTTTTTAAATGCCTAGTTTTAAAGGTTTCTCTCCTGTGCAACCACGTATAATTATATTGTAACCAAAGGCAAAGAAAATCTGCTTTCGTTTACCAGTCTTGTGCCAGTATATTTTTTATTAACGTTCACCCAATACAAGGCCCAAGAGCCACTCAAGATAGAGGGTTACTGTGTGGAGTTGTATTAACGTAAGAAAGGTCAAGATAACAGGAAAGATAGCTAATTCTAGACTTGAAGATGTTAAGATTTAATTAGCGAATAAAATTTCAAAGTTTAGGCGGAGACGTTGAGAGTATAGAGTTTAAGGAAGTAGAAACCCAATCCTAAACAAGAAGCAAGGGATGAACATCTACTCCCGTTCAAAAGACCGGAGAGGAGTGTGAACCGGACGATAGACAAATCTATCTACTCTTATTGGGAAAATAAAAAATAATAATAATGACAAAATAAAATTTCAGAGCCAGGCGGAGACGTTAAAAGTACAGAGGTGAAGGAACCGGAAACGCATTTTTAAACAGGAAACAAAGGATAAACCCTGTTCAAAAGTCCAGAGAGGAGTGTGAACCGGACGATAGGTGAAACTAACTACTCTCATGCACAAAGAAAACGATTGAAAGAAGGTTAGGGCTTAGTAAAAGAAAGAAGAAAACAACAATTTATTAAACTTCTAGTTTCCAAAATGAAGATAGAGTAATTTGGTTTTCATTTCCATGATGAAAGCCATTTTTTAAAAGATTGCTGAGCTGATCCTGTTTAGCGGTATATCAACCTGTATTGGATATTTAATGCCAAAATCCAAATATTTTGAACAGAATTTTATGACTTAAGCTACAGATAAAATGTATTGTTGGTCATCTTGCTTTAAATATGAATTGTTGGTAATTTTATTATAAATAGGTATTGTTGGTAATTTTCAAATATAATAATGTATTGCTGGTATTTTTGCTATAAAAATGCATTTTTATACTTTCATAGAGTTTTCTTTGGAGGTTCACGATTTGCCCATAGCTGGGACCCTAACAGGTGCTACCACCTCGGGTGAGGGTGGACCTGTGAACAGCATCAATTAAGAGGTAGTTCCACACTCCTCAAAATCTCTAATTTCCTGATTAGCGGCCTTGCTGTCTGATGTAGTCTGTCGTCATACCCAGGAATTTTTTTTGTAGAAGTCATAGAGTGGTGACGATATTTTCTACAACACGGTGATCGATGAATTCTCCAAAACGAAATAAAGAATTGAGTTAATTTACAAATAAATATATTTTAAATATCTTATTTGTCGATTGAATTGTTTTCTCAGGATTTTCTCGCTACCGTTAACTGTCATCATAGACTGCATTGCCCGCTTTCAAAGCGTCTCTTCACCATTGGCTGTTATTATATGATATTTATCCCAGAGTTTGATATAGTGTTTGATAATAAAGTTTGTTAAAGTGTGGACCGATTTTAAATGTGAATTAAGTTTAAGCGTCTAATAATTTTTTTCTTTTTCTTTCAGATTTAACAACTGAAGTCTTTGACAATTTCAACCATGTAAAGATTAACAATCGAACAACGTGTTGAATTAATCGAAGCCTATTACAAAAATGGACATTCAAACAGAAATGCAATAAGTTCCCAGGTGGCATCATCTCTTGAAACAGCGAAATCAGTTGGCAACCACGATCGTGCGACTTGACTCCTTTAGATTTCTTCGTTTGGGTTCATCTCAAAAATAAGGTCTATGTCAACAAGCCAACAACAATTCAACAGCTGAAGGGTGAGATAATAAGGCATAGTGGTGAGACCGAGGAACAACTATGCAGAGACGTCATCAAAAATTTTGACCATCGAGTGAAGGTGTGCAGCCGAAGCCTTGGCTTGGGCGATATTATTTTTCACACATAATTGCTATGACTTAAATAACATGATCCAATAGAGAAATAAATAAATTTTCACCAATAACACTGATTTATTTACTGCTGATTTTGATCCGTCTTAATGAAACACTTTTTATACACTAACTTGACTTGAAGTTAATTTTAAATGAAGTGGCGATAATATGAAGAAAACTTTAATTCACATTTATTGCTTAATATTTATTTACTATATTTATTCCTATAACTTACAGTATTTTAAAGAGGATAAAATACTGTCTGACGCCAATAGAGATACATAGACTAACAAAATCAAACAACACTTTGGTAGTTTATATTAATGTTTGAAGCAAGGCGAAATCAAAGAAATACACAGACGTAAGAGTTTACACAACCAGTGTGTTGTCTAATCTCGTTTATGGGACCAACTCTGCCATTCCCACTTCCTCGAACGCTTTCATGAGTGTTAATTCTTCATTACTCTAAATATGAACTGGGGTGACCTCCACACAAACACAGAAGTTCTCCACCCACCGTTGGAAGCATAGAAGCTATCCTGTAAAATCTCACATGAGATTGGTAGGCCATCTGGTGAGAATAGTAGGTCCTTCAAAACACTTCCTCTTTAATGAAGTGGTCTCTGACGGTCGGAGCAGAGGACCGTCACGGCATAGCAAGAAAACTTACAAAACACATGTAAGTATACAGAAGGCGATTATCTCCCTTTGCTGGAGATAAGTCACGGGGGTCATGTGACGGACGCTTAATGAGGTCACTCTATGAAGTGAAGACAGCGTCAAGCAAATTCAGTTTGTTTACAGCAGCCACCACGTGAGATTGCTTTCTTCTTTCTGAGGCTAAATCAACCTCTTCGGTAGCTTACAAGATCAAGGTAACGTTTCCATTTGGGGATATATCTTTCCCAGATATAACTCCATCTCGCAGTCATCAAAAAAACCCAAGATTCGGTGTTTCTCGTTCGTGAAATATGTCCTCGCCTGGGACACAGAGAAATCTGCATCTTTTGAATCTGGAATCCTAAAAATGTTTTTTCGAAACACAGGAATATTTCCATGTTATAAGTATGACACTTCATTTTTGTTTCTCCTTACAATATGTTTTGCTGGGTAGATATATATATGCATTTTTCTCCGTGTGGGACACTTATATATATGTGAATATAGTTTTTTGTATGTCTGAGAACAAAACATGTTTGTCATTCCTTTTCCTTTTAGCCATTTCATTCCGGTGTTATTATACCACGAATATAGTAATGCTCATAATGGGGGAAATACAAATGGGAGAATAAATCTTTCTTCGATAGTAGCCTTACGTTATAACCCTAATTTCTTGAGGAATCGACTAATGCCTATGTAACAAAGACTACTGAAAAGACATAAGTTCTCTGATAACCTCCCTATCTAATGAAACCCCCAGAGTTTGAGAAGAGGTAATGTAGTAAAACCGGAGTTCCCCCGGGTTGCTATATTTCTCCTGTAGCCGATCTGGAAAACAGGCCTTTCCTACGTATCCTGCTGGTCATAAGCGGGTAAATACTAAATGTGGAAATCACTCCTAAATTCTTGGAATCTAATCTCTGGTATGTGTACGTGTGAATGAAATTTATATTCGCACACGTCACTCATTGAGTATGAATATAGATACGCATATATGATAGACAGTTAACACCAAATAATACGAGGCCTGTCATGTTTGTGTGAATGCGTATTTTTTTGCGGTGCAAGAATGATTTCTTTAGCGATAATACCGCTTCTCTCCCCCCCCCTCTCTCTCTCTATCTATCTATCTATCTATCTATCTATCTATCTATCTATCTATTTGAGTTTTGTCAACATTCGTTGGCGATGAGCTCCAGATGTGGAAGATCGCATTTCCAGTCACCGGCGTCCGCAGACCGCAGACAGTTTTCTGCACAAATCGTTGACGCTCGACTCATTCTTTGACCCCCAACAAAATCTTTGTAGCGTCCCCAGACGCCCTGTCAGAATCGAAGAACAAAGAGGCAAAAAGATGGTGATGGCAGAGGAGAATGGATTAGGGGGTTGGGTGTCAAGCGACGAACCCAGAGACGAAGAAAGGAGTGAATTCAAATGTTGAACAATTTTTCAGTATTTTTTTTTTTTTTAGATTTTTGGCTAAACATTTAGGTGTGGCTTTTCAGCATGGTCAGTAAAGCATGGCTCGTTCGCTTACCTTTTTAATTTTAACTTTCTTCAATACTTCTTTTAGTATTCTGTTTCTTTTATAATTTCTTTTTCTTTCTTTCTTTCTTTCTTTCTTTCTTTCTTTCTTTATTCAATCATTCCTTCATGTTTTACACGACTTCTTTCATTTTCATTTGATTTTCCGGAATTCTTCTTAAAGTTTATATTTTGATTTTCATTTCGTTTTTCCCTTTTCCTTATTCATTCATTTTTTTTACTTAATTCATTAGTTCCCTTCTTTGATTTTTTATTTGTTCATTTCTTTCTTTCTTTGTTTTTTTCTTTATTTGTCTCTTCTATTTATTTATTCGTTTCTTCTTTCACTTTCTTTCTTTCTTTCTTTCTTTCTTTCTTTCTTTCTTTCTTTCTTTGTGTCTTCTATTTAGTCATCATTTTTTCTCTGTCTCTTCTATAAGTTTCTTTCATTCTTTCTATCTGTCTTTCTTTCTTCTTTGTCTCTTCTATTCCTTTCTTTCTTCTATCGCTTTCTTTCTTTCTTTCTTTCTTTCTTTCTTTCTTTCTTTCTTTCTTTCTTTCTTTCTTTCTTTCATTCCTTCCTTCCTTGCCTGTAGTGTAAGCAATATTTGATTAGCAAATCCTTTCTTTCTTTTTTCTTCTTTCTTTCTTTCTTTCTTTCTTTCTTTCTTTCTTTCTTTCTTTCTTTCTTTCTTTCTTTCATCTATTAATGTATTTCTTTGTTTCACTGATTTCTTTCTTTCTCCGTCTCTTCTTATTTCTTCCTTTTCTTTCTTTCTTTCTTTCTTTCTTTCTTTCTTTCTTTCTTTCTTTCTTTCTTTCTCGTATTTAATTCTTTTTCTTTCTGTTAACATTTCAAAAGTTCAAAATTTTCGATCTTTATCTTGCATTTGTGATCAAACCAGACACGTAAAAAAATATTAACTTCTCTGAATACGGTGATTTGTGCAATATACGTTTTATGTTTAATGAATGTACAGGGCATTTTTCTTTTAATCTGAAAGCATGCACAGGCGAATAAGATTAAATGTAGTTTGATACCTATATTACCTTGACGTAAAAGTCAGTTTCAAGCATAATACATAAACTAAGAGAGGAGATATCTATCACAAGTATAATTCAAATTATTTAAATTTAAATTCAAATTTATTATTCAAATTATATTTGTTATATTTTAAATGATTCCCGTCAGAAATTGAAGAAAGTTGAAATTCAAAACGCCCATAACTCGTATGAAGGACCGGAGCAAAGGGGGTCCCGTAGTGCCTCCATCCATCTATAATGACCCCCGAATCTATGATACAGCCACCCCCAATCTACTACATCTCAATTTTCATAAGGTAGCATTCATATATAATTTTATTGTAACCTAATTTTGTACAATATTGGATCATATGCAATATAGGTGAACAATTCAACTAGAAAATTTGGAAATTAATACAATCTATCTAAATACAAATTAGAGACATGTCATAATATAGATCATTCTATCTTAAGTAAATCAAAAATATTTTGCGGTTATTTTTTACACATCAACTAAATTTTTGTCGTGATATAGATAAAAAAAAAAATGAATTTTACATAGTGTTTTTTTGAGACTTAGCAAGAAGAAGAAGAAGAAGAAGAAGAAGAAGAAGAAGAAGAAGAAGAAGAAGAAGAAGAAGAAGAAGAAGAAGAAGAAGAAGAAGAAGAAGAAGAAGAAGAAGAAGAAGAAGAAGAAGAAGAAGAAAGAAGAAGAAGAAGAAGAAGAAGAAGAAGGAAGAAGAAGAAGAAGAAAGAAGAAGAAGAAGAAGAAGAAGAAGAAGAAGAAGAAGAAGAAGAAGAAGAAGAAGAAGAAGAAGAAGAAGAAGAAGAAGAAGAAGAAGAAGAAGAAGAAGAAGAAGAAGAAGAAGAAGAAGAAGAAGAAGAAGAAGAAGAAGAAGAAGAAAGAAGAAGAAGAAGAAGAAGAAGAAGAAGAAGAAGAAGAAAGAAGAAGAAGAAGAAGAAGAAGAAGAAGAAGAAGAAGAAGAAGAAGAAGAAGAAGAAGAAGAAGAAGAAGAAGAAGAAGAAGAAGAAGAAGAAGAAGAAGAAGAAGAAGAAGAAGAAGAAGAAGAAGAAGAAGAAGAAGAAGAAGAAGAAGAAGAAGAAGAAGAAGAAGAAGAAGAAGAAGAAGAAGAAGAAGAAGAAGAAGAAGAAGAAGAAGAAGAAGAAGAAGAAGAAGAAGAAGAAGAAGAAGAAGAAGAAGAAGAAGAAGAAGAAGAAGAAGAAGAAGAAGAAGAAGAAGAAGAAGAAGAAGAAGAAGAAGAAGAAGAAGAAGAAGAAGAAAAGAAGAAGAAGAAGAAGAAGAAGAAGAAGAAGAAGAAGAAGAAGAAGAAGAAGAAGAAGAAGAAGAAGAAGAAGAAGAAGAAGAAGAAGAAGAAGAAGAAGAAGAAGAAGAAGAAGAAGAAGAAGAAGAAGAAGAAGAAGAAGAAGAAGAAGAAGAAGAAGAAGAAGAAGAAGAAGAAGAAGAAGAAGAAGAAGAAGAAGAAGAAGAAGAAGAAGAAGAAGAAGAAGAAGAAGAAGAAGAAGAAGAAGAAGAAGAAGAAGAAGAAGAAGAAGAAGAAGAAGAAGAAGAAGAAGAAGAAGAAGAAGAAGAAGAAGAAGAAGAAGAAGAAGAAGAAGAAGAAGAAGAAGAAGAAGAAGAAGAAGAAGAAGAAGAAGAAGAAGAAGAAGAAGAAGAAGAAGAAGAAAGATAATGATTTTCTACGGGCAAATGCATTTCCGACTCGATCAGTCTTTCAAGAATACCAGAATATAGATCTGTGAAATGGGTCGGACATAGAACCTTTTTTTTTTTAGATCGTTCATTAGACATCTGAAATGTTGCTCTGTTTTGGACGCAAACACTCGTGCATATGAAAAGACTGACCAAATTCCCTCTGCCAACGTACAACACATTTCGTCCGAGTATTATTTCATATCTTTGAAAAAAATGTTTTCTCAGTTGACTCAGCAAATAAAGGATTGTTGGCGCTTGTCATATTGTTATATACATCATGTTCAAATTCTTATTCCTGGAGAAGTATGTGACATGGTTACATATGCGTTTCACAAAGTTTTTGTCTACATTTACTTACTGGGCCACACCTATAGCACAAGATGCTACTTTTTGAACATTGTTTAGCAACGTATATGTCTATTTGCTCGCGTGTGAGTAGGTTTGTACATGATTGCTTTTAAGTTGACTAAATTGTATTTCAGGAAAATATTTGTTCTGCATAGACAGACATTTCTGATTTAAAACAAGGAGACGTTATTTCTCGAAAGACGCCAATTTCCACTTGTTTTGCTAATTGTAACTAGTTCATCTTACCTCTCTCTTTATATATATATATATATATATATATATATATATATATATATTTGAGAAAGAAGAGGTTGAAAAGTTCTCGTCTCGACCCCGCTTATCAAATAGCAAAACATGAGAATTTTTTTTAAAATCATTTGTTGGCTTTTCTTCAATACCCCCTGAACAATCCATTGCTAATACCTCCTTACGAATGGGCCGAGTGATTTCTGGAGGGTGATTCTATAAAATCTGGAGTTGGGATGCTGAACGTAACACCACTCAGCTAAGTAACAAGCTTTATATTTGTATTAATTCTCACTCTCCCTCTGCCTCTTTATGCCTTTCTTTCACTTTCTCTCACTTTCTTTCTCTCTCCCTATATATATATATATATGTATATATGTGTGTGTAAAGATATGCAAAAAGACTTATGTAAAATAAGTTCAGGTTTCGATGTTTGATCGATCTATTAAATTCATTAAATTTTAAATGTCTTTGTTTTCTTTTTTTTTAACAACGAACATGTTTGAAATTTCTTGGAAATCTGTTAGCACATATCATATTTAAATAGGCTGTATATGGAACTTATACAGCCTATTTATATATGATATGTGCTAACGGATAATGTTGCTGCCGTTAAACAACTGAAGCAATGGTCCTTCCATATTCCATCAGCTCGTAATGGACGATATTTTCATATTCTACCGGACATAAGGACTTTTGTTGATATCGTCCTGGTTTCTCGTTTTGTGATAACCACTATTTCTGCGAAACCTGAAGTCGGTCAAAAGATAAGTCTTTTGAAGTTTTCGTTATCTTGATTACTGTTGCTCTGTTTTTGATATTGAGCACTTTCTTTGCAATAATCTAATCGCCTTCAAATGGGTTAAATTTTAGTAATTTACGTATTTTTGTTAGGCGTATTAGATTTCTGATATATATAAACTAATATGTTCTGAACGTTATAAGATTGTGTTAAAAATTGTTTATTTAATTATTGTTGCCTAAAATATTATAATTAATTATAATTTATATATATATATATATATATATATATATATATATATATATATATATATATACAATATAAACTGTTGGAGTAACTCCTTCTTAAGTCTTTTTAGGGTTAGTCGTACTCACATTATTTAGCCAATTGCGGGTTGGTGAGACTGTTTAACCCATAGTTGGGATTTTTGTATTCATAGTTCTCTTTCTCCTAGATCGGTTACCATCAAAAGCTATAGGACCCAGTCTACTCTGCTATTTACCCATATATATATATATATATATATATATATATATATATATATATATATATATATATATATATATCTAAAGAAGTAACGGATTTTTCGTTTATTAATCCGACAGATTTTAAAACGTTAAATGTTATTTTTTTAGTCGATACTCATATTTGAGTAGACGCTCTGTTTATTTATTAAACAGTACATTTATTTATTTTCGTCAACCGGCCTGAACATTCGAGAAATCTTATTAAAGAAAAACATGCTCTCTCTGACAAGATTCGAACCTGCGTACACCCCATGGGCCAAGGGAAACGTCGTTAGATCCGACGTACAATATTGTGGAATAAATTTTATTTACACATTTGAATTTTACAACTTACGCATGTTTTGTTCTGTTTTAAATTTTATTGCTTTCTGTTATTTTTAATTATTTTATAAACGTTTAATTTTTTTTTTTCTTAAAAAAAAAAATAATGTGTGTTGTATTCATTATATATCGTGAAATACGGTATTAAGATTGTGAGACGCCATTTGGCTTTTCTCGTATGTTTTTTTTTTCCTTCCGTTTCCTGGTGAAACAAATCCAGGGCACTTGAGTTGCAGATAGGTCAACTGCCATCCTCTCCCTGTAAGATTTAAGGTAGGGTCCTTTGGTGAGAAATATCGATAAGGCAAAGAATCCAATTAAGTTATTTCAATTACCTCAGGCATGTTTATTTAGTAGTTATTCCAAAAAATATTAGGCTGTTCAGAAATTATTTACGTATTTCACTGCTATGAATTACGGGTCAACTAACCAAACGGAACCAAGGTTGAATGGTAGGAAACTGTTTCTAGAATTATTTTATCATATTTTCTGTCCGACAGTGTGTCGTTTATAGGGTATTTCAGAGTTTAATTGGGAAAACTTCAAAAGAAAGAATAGTCAACATAAACTTTCGTTCAAGAACATAGCAGAACCCTCCACTATCTAAAGCAATCTTTTAACCTTGAATGTCAAGCTTTCATTTTTATGATGAAATATGGGTTTCGCGTGCCGACAGAAAACAAAAAAGACAGTGGTTATCACAAAATGAGAAACCAGGACGATATCTACAAAATTTCTTGCTTTATTTATTGTAGAATATGAAAATGTCGTCCATTACGATTTATTGGAACATGGAAGGACCATTGCTTCAGGTGTTTAACGGCAGCAACTTTATCGGGTAAACGAAGCATTATATCGAAAGTGTTTTGCCTTGTAAACAGAAAAAAGGTTTATTCTCCTGTATGACAATC